CCATTACTTGCTCATTAAAATCGCAAATTGCTCGTGAATAATGCATTGGAAATGTAATTTTTCTTAAAAGAAACGTTCATAATTTCTTTTCACCTGTTTACAATTATAGGTGAATTTTTTTAAAAACTAGAAATTTGTATTTTTTTTAAACTCGACTCTTACAGACTCCTAATAGGATTAAAACTTATTAAGAAATAAATAAAATAAATAAACTATAAGAAAAGTTTTTTTCAGAAAAGACTAATATATAAACTGTACAAGGTGTCCCAGATAATATTTTTTGGTCATTAGCTGTGTTATAACCAAAATCCAATTCAATAATTTTCGTCGTAAAGCAAGTAAAAGTGTTTTTCTCGTTTTTGTCTTTTTGTTTTGTGTTTCTATTTCTGCAAATCTTAGATTCAGTACAGAAATTATCTATAATTAAGCTGCTTGCGTTTTACATAACATTACATTTTAAATTAGCACTTTTCTTAAAGTGTATCACAGGCAATAAGATTGTTCTCAAGCCTCATTCACACGCCATAAATCAAGGTTTTCCAACATGAAAGAAAAATTTAATTCAAAATATTTTAATATCGTGGTGAAGTAAAATTCCACTTACTTCCTGCTATTAGCTACGTTCGTGAACTTTGTGTATTGCAATCATCTTTTCATTTAAAGTGACTTAAGCCACTTTGAGTATCATGAATTGGATCAAGGACAACTGTGGCGAGGCGTTTCTCATAATTAAAATTTCGTAATTTTATTAAAAGATGTTTTCCTGGGTAGAAAAAACACTTTCTTTTATTACATTTTGTGATAATGGATTAAATACGCTTGATATATTTTGCAAGCAATATTATATTATCCCAGAAAATAAATTGGTAAAAAGGTAATTACTCGCAATTTAAGTAACAATAAATATGCAAAAAACTTACAAGTAATACAATTAACCATTAATTGCGTTATTTGGAAATAAGTAAAATTCCCAGTGTGTAATTACAAATTACAATTACGTTACGTAATTGGAAGATGGTCATGAGTTTGGGAACACGTTTCAGAAAAATCAATCTTCGACTCTAATAACCACATAATTGAGCCAAATATTGATTTGTTGGTGGTTCGCGTGCAATTAATCTTAATTTAAGTGTTATTTTGCCCAAATTAAAAATTACGAGTCGGCGATTCTCCAGTCTTGTGAAAGAAATACAATAAAATGTAGGTCAACGGGTCGTGATAAATTTCAAAATTAATTGTCTAGATTTGTCGAAATGTTGTTTAATTTGTTAGACTTATTTAATTAATTAGTTATCTAGTTTAGAACAGTTCTCAAGCAGTTGATGATAAATGGGAAATATTGAGAAGATTTTGCAATTTGGGATTGGGTAAACTTGTTGTTCGCATTTGGGGATTTTTTATAGTGGTGTTTTTTTATGATAATTGGCTTTTATAACTTTGTTTTTTTATATTCTTTTATAACTTTTTTTACATTTTATTACTTTGACGGAGGTTAGAAAGTGACTCATTACTGACCTCATATTATCTACCTCTATTACTGCCCTTGTTTCCTCGTCCTACTTAAAATTACACATAAACCTCGGTAGAAATTTCATTATATTACCTACCCCTATTACTATTCTGTTACTACTTTTGTTTTTAGTCCCACTTTAAATTATGTGTAAACCTAAAAGTTTCATTTTTGTTTAAAGATAAATTAAAAAAAAAAAATTTTTAATGTGTCGCCAGAAATGAAACACTTGCCACGTCGATAGTATCTACTATTTTTAATACTACTAATGTCAAAAAATTAAAGTTTTAAGGTGCAAACCCA